AGGCAGAACTTTGGCCTCCAGAATTCTCATCTAAAGGCCTGCCTCCCCAGGAGCTTCTCAGTGCTAGGTCTCCTGAGGAGCATGAGGTAGCAGAGCCATGGGATCTTCCCCAGAGGCAGGGAAGGCAGGTCAGTGTGAGTGTCCAGGACAATAGACAGGACAGGCTGAGACCCCCTGGGGAGACACACTCCTGGAAAGCAGACTCCTTGGGACCTCCCCAGGCTCAGCAGTGCAGAGTGTGTGTGTGTGTGTGTTTGTGCAGTTGTATGTGTGTGGTGTGCATGGTGTGGTATGTGTGTATGTGTGGTGTGTGTGTGCATGCACACGTGTAGGGTGTGAGGTAGGGATTAACAGGCCTGTTGAAAATCCAAATTCCCCATTTGGGACTATTTGCTTTAAACTCTTCTCCCAGAGACGGTGTTCGCAAAAACAAAACAAACAAAAACAACTGAAACAGGTGTTGAATTCAACACACAGGCCCCTGCCATTTCACATACCAGAACCACAGCCCACCTCACTTCCCCGTCTTAGCACCCTGTAAAGTCACCTCCAGAGTCTTTGGCACAGTTTGGCATCCCTGGCTTGGCCAGACCCTACTCTCAGAGTGTGGCTTGACTTGGGGACTTAGAGGCTCATTGGAATATTCAATGGAGTCCTGGGTTTGGAGCCAGGAGATCTGAGTTCAAGGTTGGCTCTCTGCTTCCTGGAGTCCCTCTCTAAATACCCGAGTTCTAAGACATGGGAAATCCAATTAAGCAGCTCCTTCCTGCCTTTGAGGGTTACTGGGGCTCCCTGGGGTAAGGCGGCATCATGGCCACCTCAGCTTAGGAATGGGGTATGCTGAGGACCTGGAGTTTCTAATTAGGTCAAGTGTGGCTGATTTATTCAGGAAGACCATCCTGCCAGGAAACCCCTTTTTGCTCTTTCCTCCTGAACCACTTCAGATTTGACCCCAGTGACCTTTGGAGGCTCCAGGGAGATTTATTTTTCTCTAGACAGTTTATGTGTTCAGAAATACGCCACAAACTTCCAACAATTCCACTTCACAAGTCCCCATCCTCGGCTTAATAATTCAAACGTTAACTGCAGTGTCAACCTACTTTGAAAGAGGTCTCATAAAATACAAAATTAAGGTCTGCTTGGGTGGTTTTAGCACTCAACATACACGGTTGGAAAAGGAGAATGTTTTCCCAAGAAAGCACAAGGCCTCACAAGTGAGGAAGGAAGTATTTCCATCTTAAAGCACAGCTATGGTTCTGAGAAGCAGCAGGGTGATGGGAAGAAGCCAGCAGAAGTCCTGATGTTCAAAGGGTCGGAGATAACAAAAGAAATCTGAGGGTGTGCCATGATTTCTGAGGCAGGGGAGCAATTTCTGACTCAAGGATGATTCACATAGCTTCTCTCAGAGGGCAAGTTTAGTTCCTAATGATTCAAAATAAGACGGGAAAGAAGAAAGCTTTGCCATCCTCAGGAGGGATGGGGCATGGGGTTGAGGCTAGCCCTCTGGAGGGCCCTCCTGGGCCACTTTTCCTGGCCTCCCTGCCAGCAGCCTCACACCACTCTCCACCCCTGCCTGGGGTGCTTTTTCTGAGCACCACGAGCAGAATCCTTTTAAGGGCTCATTGGATGTCACCTAGCTGTCCCTCCACACACCCAGTCTTGACTCTTGTCATTCCAGCCCCAGAGAAATACTCAGGCCACAGATCATCCGTATAAGCCACACATCTTCAGGTCTCTGGGCCTTGGCAGCACTGTGCCCCTGCCTGGAATGCCCTTGCCCACTTGGTGAACTCCTCTAGAATTCTCTGGGTCCAAATCTGCCACTTGGTGGTCAGGAACAATCCTGGGCAGCTTACTTGATGTTTCTGCGGCTCAGTGTTTTTAGCTGCAAGATGGGAATGGTCATAATTGCCTTGATTCCCTGGAAGGGATGTGGAGGGTCAGGCAAGACAGTGACTGGCAAAATAAACTACAGAGAATAAGGCTCAGGAATAGTAAGAGAAGTTACAAGAGTAATAGCTACCATGGCCTGAGCGCTTGCTACACGTCAGGCACCGTGCTGGGACATACGTATTTTCTCATCTGACCTTCACAGTAGCCCTGAAGCTGCCCCCAGGCAAAGGTGCATCTTTATGAGTTGGGCAGGAAGGGGTGGTAGCTGCATGGCTCTGGGTTGGACGGACCTGGGTTCTAATCCTGGCTCAGCCTCTTATCTGCTCTGGAACTCCCAGAGTGGTTTTTCACTTCTCCCAGCTTCGGGGGTCTGATCTAAGAATTAGAGATGTGATATCACTTACTTCATGGGGTCGTTGTACAAGGGGTGCATGGGGGTAAGCACTTAGCATCGAGCCTGGCTAAGGGAATGTTAGCAATTAGGGTTAATTATATAGTCACTTTACAGATTTGCAGACTGGGAAACGGAAGCTCAAAGGGGTTAAGTAACTTGCTCAGGGTCACACAGGTGGTTAAGTGCTGGAGATGAGGTTTGAACCTTGGTTTGTTGGACTTCAGAGCCAAACCTCATTGCTTCTTGGACTGGGTGTCAGGACATTTGGATTCCAGCTTCAGTAACCCACGGGGTGACCTGAGACAAGTCCCTTCCTATTTCCAGGCCTCAGAGTAAAGTCAGGGGGCTGGACCAGGGAGTCTCTAAGACCTGTGAATCCATGTAGATGATACCCACACAAACTACCCTTGCAAATACTCAAGTAGGTTGGTGTTTTGTTTTGTTTTGTCTTTTAAGAATGAAAGGTGCTATCTAACTGGGAGGTCTCTGGATCAATGTAGACTAGAGAGCTGGGGATAACTGCAGAAGAGATCAGCTCAATATGCTGGAAGAACCGACAGAGCACTGGTATTGGCCATGGGACAAAGACGGGGCCAACTCCTACCTCCTGCTGCCACAAGAACAGGAAAGTAGAACATAGGGACAGTCCTGTCCTGAGCATCTTATTAATTCATATTCACCCATCCACTGCCCATATATTCATCCACTCATCCATTCAACCATCCACCCATCCATCCATCTACCCATCCATCACTCACCCATCCATCCATCCGTCTCCCTACCTACTCCTCATCTCATTGATTATATATCTATGCATCTATTCACCAATCAATTCACTTACCTCACCCATCCAACCAGTACTTCCCAAGAGCATGGGGCAGGGGTGGGGGTGGGGTGGGAAGACGACAAAACATTGTCATTTCTGGCATCACCCCCCCAGAGTTCTGGATCACCCCTGTGCCCGCATCCTCCCGACCTACTTTCCCCTCTCCTCCATGAGCCTCCCTCAGCCTGTAGCTCTGGGGTGATGCAGGGGGCTGCTCAGCCCTGGATAGTGCAGATCTTACAGCCCCAGTGTCTGGCGGCGGAAGCTGCCTCCTCCCCCTTCTCCCACCAGCCCGCAGCCCCTCGCTGCTGAGTCACACTCTCCTCCCCATTTGGATAAAGCTGCTGGCGGTGCCCACAGCCCAGCCTCACCATGATGCTGTGAGCTGGCTCCCGGGCAGAAGGGAGAGGTCAGGCCTAGGGCACACTTGGGAGGTAAGCAAAAAAGCCCAGCCGCTCACCCAGATGCTCCCACTACCATCCACCCATCCATCCATCTACCAGATGCCCTACATCTGGCTGCTGACTGACCTCTGGACAGACAATTCCCTGTTTCTCCTCATCCAAATGCTGATTAATTACAAAAAGGCCCTCTCTGCTTCTAAACCAAATAGGGATTACAGCATGATGAGTCTATGCCGCTTAGCTGAGACAGGAATGTGAGAATTTTTCTTATCAGAACTCGTGAAAGTGCTAATATTACTGACAACAACAACGTCATCGGGTGGTAAATCCTTTCTGAAAATGGCCACCATTCGTCCCCTCTCTGAAGCCACGCCCTTTGCAATGTGATCTGGCAGTTCCTCCCGTCAAGAGATGGAGTCTATTGCCCCATTCCTTGAATCTGCACAGGCCTCTTGGCTTGCGTTGACCAATAAGATGCAGCAAGATGACAACGTGAACAAGCCCAAACTAGCCTGCTGGAAAAGCTGGGACCACACAGAGCCAAAACAAACCATCCCAGCTGAGGCCATCCCAGACCAGCCTCCGGTGCTGCTGAGATCAGCGGAGCTGTCCTCCTGAACCACCACAGACACAGATGCGAGAGGGAGTCCCACTGAGAGCAGAAGAGCCACCACGTTGAGCGCAGCCTGAATGGCCACCCCACAGAATTGTAAATACACAGTTTGGTTTTGAGCCCCTAAGTTTTGGAGTACAGTAGTCCCTGCTTATTCTCGGGAGATACGTTCCAAGACCCCCAGGGGACACCCAGAGCTGTGGATCATACCAAACCCCATGTATACTATGTTTTTTCCTAGACATGCATATCCGTGATAAAGTTTAATTTATAAACTAGGCACAGTAAGAGATTAACAACTGATTAATAACTGATAATAAAATAGAACAATTATTGCAATATACTGTAGTAAAAGTTATGTGAATGGGGTCACTCTCTAAATATCTTACTGTACTGTCCTCGCCCTTCTTCTCGTGCCGATGTGAGATGTTAAGATGCCTATGTGGTGAGATGAAGGGGAATGATACAGTGTGTGTCATAGCACTAGGCTACTCTCGACCTTCTGATGGTCTGCCAGAAGGACGGTCAGCAGCTACGGGACTGAGGTTGATTGCACGTAACTGAAAGTGCAGATAAAGGGGACTACGGTAGTTAGTTATGGAGCAAAAGCCAACTAATAAAAAGTGTTTTGCTTTGTTTTGTTTTGTTTTCATAAGGGGGACAATGACAGGATCTAAAAACACAATTAAGACTTTTTTTTGGTCATATAAACATCATTGCTAAATCAAAGAGAAAGAAGTTGCTTACTATACGACCACCCCAAAATACATCAGCAGGATTCAAAAATAGGAATCCCGTCGCTCACTCTGCCTGGTACCTGCGAGTCACCCTGCGGACCTCACTCCCTCCAGCGGAGGCTGCGCCACTCACCAGAATCTTGGTGGTGTAGGCGCTGTTGATGGCAATGGCGTTGACGAGCAGCTCCATGGTCTTGGCGTTGATGGAACTGGGGTCAGGGATCTCCTTGTAGTGGACATCGCCAACGTAGGCCTGCACGACTGTCATGCGATTGGTGGTCAGCGTGCCTGTCTTGTCTGAGCAGATGGCGGTGGCATTGCCCATGGTCTCACAGGCATCCAGGTGACGTACCAGGTTGTTGTCTTTCATCATTTTCTGGGGGCAGGGGCAGGTGAGAGGGCGACAGTGAGGAGAGGGAGTCGGGGGGCCAGGGCGTGGGGTGGGGGCACTGGGGAAGCACGCAGTAAGTGGGGCAGAGCTGCTGCAGTCTGCCCTTGGTTTCCTGCATGTGCCCGTGGCCTTGGACATCGGGGCTCCGTGTGTGTGTAGGCTTTTCCTTTGCTTTCCTTATTTGAACCACTTACAAGATTTGATTAATTGACTTTATTAATTTGGAATACAGAAGTAATCTGTATTCCTTATGGAAAAAATAGGGAAAAGGGTGATAAGTTAATGTTGAGTCCTTTACAATGACCTCAAATATTTTTCTCTTATACCCTAGCAGAAGTAACCATCCTTTATTTGGTTAAGGGTTTTCTTTTCAAATCTTTTGCTGGTGCCTGGTTTTCATTGTCATTTTTGGTTCCACCAAAAAGAAATAAATTTAGGATAGATATATGTGTTTATAGACATAGGACAGTATCTGGAAAAATGTCAAAATATTAGTGTTATTATTTCTGGGTGGTAGAATTACAGGAGATTTTTATTGCCTTCTTTTAAAAAAATCTACAGATTCGATTTTTTCTGCATTGAATGCATATTATACCTCATGTAATAAAAATCACAAATTTCTTTACAATATACACAAAAATGAAAACAAATCCATCATAATGCCATCCACCCAGAATGGATACAGCTTATGTATCGACATCTTTTCTTTCTAAATTTATAACAAGAATGAAATCCTACCATACATATCATTATGAATTTTCTGGCATTCTCCTTCCTCTCTGTCTTTCCAGCTCCACTCCTAGCTTCTTCGAGGTTCTCAAGGAACTCAGCAAATGAAGTCATTCTCAAGGAACTGCCACTCTAAAGGCAGGCCCTGCTGACACAGTGACCCCATCTGGCAAGGAGGGACATGAGAAGTTGCTAGAGGCTGAGTCAGACATACTTCTAGTCTATTCCTGAGAATCTGATTTCCTTTATTCTTGCTCATCATAATAACTCTTTATAAAAAGGGAAAAAAAGTGCAATTAGAATAATTTTAATAGCAGTTCATGTTACTAAGGAATGAGTATTGGTAGAATTATATGGTATTGCAGTCTTCTCTTATTATAACCTGTGATAATAGTAACACTTCATGCATGTGTAAGGGATGAGCAATAACAACATACTTGATGGTTTGCAAAATTCTTCCAGGCTTATTTTCTTGTCTGATGTTACAAGAGGCCTGTGAAACCTTTGAGGATTGTGGTCCTCCACGCTGGCAAATGGAAAAGCCATGGCCAAGTGATTTGACCAGGATCACACACCTAATGAGGGTTAAAGCTGAGACTGGAGCCTGGCTCTGTTTAACTTCACAGCCTGGATCATTCCATCGGGCCCCTGCCCATCTGTACTCTTGGAAGATGGTTCATCTGTTGGGCTTAAGAATATACAGGTGGCTACTGAGCACTGGAAATGTGGCTGGTCTGACGTGAAATGTGCTGTACGTGTAAAAATACGTGTTGGGATTTGAAGACTTATTATGAAGAAAGCAATGTAAGATATCTCACTAGTGATTTGTATATTGATTACATGTTGGATTGCTAATTATTTGGACATAATAGGTAAAGTAAATTATATTATTAAAATTAATGTCACTTGTTTCTTTTTACCTTTTTTTTTTTAACATGACTATGAGGAAATTTAAAATCACACATATGGCTCACATTGTGTCTCTGAGTGTCATCTCTGTTCTTTTGATGGCGGCTCCCAGGGTGGGTATGCCAGGCTCAGAGAGAGCAGAGTTTGCCTCTCCTGGGTTGGGGCTGTACTCAGTTTATCAAGTGACTATATAAGTAACACGACCTAAGACAGCTGAAGGCACCAGGCGCCAGAGATGCGAACTGCAGAAGGTGCAGAGGCCTAAAAACGTCTGTGCATGATCCCCCCCAAACTACCTCTGTGCGACTTTCAAGACACCCCGAGCTCAGCTGGGTGGCTGTGGGGGTCCCCACTCATGGCTGTATGAGAATCTCCATCTCTGGGCCCCAGGCCCCCAAGCAGCATCGTGTTGTGACCTGTTTGGGCTTTGGTTTGTGGGATGGAGTTTCTTCAAGAACCCTAAAACAAGGAGACGATAAGGGCCGTATCTTTTACCTAGGGCTGCCACTTCCTGGCACCTGCCTGGAGATCTCTTTTCTGTATGAAATTACATCGGCGAGCCCAGTCCAAATTCCAGCTTGGAAACTGACGCCCGCCGTGCCCTCCGGCAGCTCTGCCAATGTCTCAGAGCCAACGCCTTGTTTATAAACATGCTCAGGTCTCCATCCTCGTAGGGACGTCCTGGCATTGGGGCCCTGGGCACCAGGAGTGCAGAGCCCTGCCCTCCGAGGTGGGAAAACCATGGGGCCAAGGGAAGAGAATGAGGCTGTGATGTGAGCCAAGCTTGAAGTGCCCATTTGAGATGCTCAGCCCAGTGTTCGGGCTCCATGGATGGCCACGGCCTGGGAGCAGGGGGTGGCGGGGTTCTGCCATCCGGGGAGCACTAGAAACAACCCCTCCCAGACCCAAGTGTCCACAGTCAACTTTCATGGGCTTACCACCCTTCATTAAACTGCTTTTAAAACCTCTTCCATTTTCAGCCCATTCCCGGAGAGGAGGGGGCTTCCTTAAATCAGATCTCTTTTGGCTTTAGGCTCATCTCTTCCCAACTTCAGGGAACAACCTCTGAGATGAGTTGCTGAAGTAGCACAGCTTCCATGGAGCTTTGACCACAGACTTTTCCTTACATTTGGTGGGATGGGGATGGGTTTGGGCCTGCATGGTGAGGTCTGCTTTTTATGTTGTTTTTTTTTTTTTAATTTTTTTTTAAAGTGGAGGTGATGATCAATGTTTAAAAATCAATATATTAAGTCCAGGCTTCCGGCTTCTCTGGGAAAAATGTGAAGAGTTGGCAATGTGTGTGTGGGGGTGCATCAGCAAGGCAACACTTGGCTGGGGTGAATCATGGTTGTTCCTGTAGCCAAGATGTGGCCCTCAGGGCTGCCACAGGCCCTGGACTCCCTGAGGGCATGTGAGCTCCGGCTTCCGGCATAGGTCTCCTCTCCCAGCTTCCAAGGTGCCCCCTTCCTTCTTCTTAGCTCTACTGCCGGCCCCAGCGCTTGCCCCACGGGCCACCCCCTAGAGCCCCTGCTGGGGACAGCCAATCCCAGCTGCACCATCCGGTCCTCTCCTTCTCACCTTCACTGAGTAGGCCAGCGAGATGGTGACGGCCAGAGGGAGCCCCTCCGGCACGGCGACCACCAGCACCGTCACGCCGATGATGAAGAACTTGACAAAGTACTGCACGTAGACGGGCGTGCACTCGGGTAGCCATGGCTTCTTGTTGACCACGAAGGTGTCCACGGTGAAGTAGAGCACCAGGATGATGACCGTGATGGCCGACATCACCAGACCTGTAACACGGGTTGGGGGGAGACCTGCTCAGGGGCTCTCCTGGGGGTGGGGGCCCTGGGAAGTGAGATGGAGACCAGATACTTGGCCAGGCAGATTCTAACCCACATCTCAGCTCTGCCACTTACTAGCTTTGTGGCCTGGGACACGTCCTTGATCCTCACAGAGCCTCAGTCTCCTCCTCTGTGTAATGGGGATGCCTGCTTATTTCACATGGCTTTGCAAGGATCAAATGTGATGAATGCATGTAAAGCGCCTGGCACAGTGCCCGACACCTTGTGGGTGCTCAGGAAATGTGTGCCGAGACCACGTGAATTAGTTTGAACTGCCTGCATAGTTCTCGCACATAATCATGTGCAGCTGGTACCATTTATCGACTCGTCCACCCAGGCACCTCGTAGCTCCTAATCTAGGAGCGAGGGACACAGCACTAGAGAGGACAGAGTCCCTGCCCTTGGGAAGCTGAGACTCCAGAGGGGGAGGCAGACAAGAAGCAACACACTCATGAAAAAGACCATCCATGTAGGGATAATGCTGTGTAGAAAAACTGTAGGATAACACGACAGAGAGCGGCATGGGCTGAAGGTAAGAAAACAACCCACGTCCATCGACAGACAAATGGGTAAAGACGGCATGATATAGACACACAGCCTTAAAAAAGAAGGAAGTCCTGCCATTTGCGACCACATGGATGGGCCTGGAGGACATTATATATATATAAATAGTCAAACTCATAGAAGCAGAGAGTAGAAGGGTGGTGGCCAGGGGCTGTGGGGAGGGGGGGGGTTGTTTTTCAGTGGGTATAGGGTTTCAGTTATGCAAGATAAGGAAGTTCTTGAGCTCTGCTCTACACTACGGGGCCTACGGTGAACAATAGAGTATTGTGCACTTCAAAACTGGTTAAGAGGCTGGATCTACCTCTTAAGTGTTCTGAGCCCAAAAAACGGAAAACGGAAAAACCCAGGAAAGAACACAGGAATTTTTGGAGGTGGGGGATATGTTTTGTACCTTGCTTGTGGTGATGGCATCACGGGTGTACGCATATGTCCAAATTTATCAAGATGTACACTAAATGTGTGTAATTTTTTGTATATTAATTGTACTTCAATAAAACTTCAAAAAAGAAAATAGAACAACACGGGCTGGTGGACAGGGACTACTTTAGCTAGGCTGTCCAGGGAAGACTTCCTGGAGGAGGTTCTCCTTGAGAAGATAGGGAATGATGAGAAGTATCAGCCAGATGGTGACCTGCAGAAAGAGCGTTCCAGAAAGAGGAAAGAGCAGGGGGCCCTTTTTTGGATGAGGACACTGGGGTCAGTGAGGGGAAGGGACTTGTCCAAGGCCACAGGCCAGAGAAGCCCTGCACAGTTGGCAGATGCGGGCGGGTACCTGCTCAGATGCCCGGGGACCCCCTCACCCGTTCGGGGTGCTGCAGGGCTCTGGCTCTGTGCGGGTGCACACCTGCAGCCTCTGCCAGAGGAAGTCCACGCTTCAGAGAGCACTGTCTCCTGGTCAGGAAGGACCCGGCACGGAACCCCACCCCAGTGTGATGGCCAATATTCAATGGCTGAGGAGGAGGGGGGTCCAACAGCCCAGTCCCCTTGCTGCGAGGCCAGAAAGACCCTGCAGAGGTAGGTAGAGACGGGGATTCCTCCAGGAAGTATCTGGCTTTTTCCCTGGCCCCTTTGAGTCTCTTACCCTTTATAGGTCTCACCTGAGAGCACCCTCGCCCCTAAAAATCCTGCGTCCACCCATCTCAGGCTCTGCTTTAGGGAATTCAGCCCAAGAGAGGAGCAGAGGTAGGATGTGAACCTAGAAATGTTTGACCCTGAACTACGTTCTTGGCAAGGCTGAGGAGGGGGAGGGGGATGAGCAAGAGCTTTGAAGGCCACGGGTGGTTCTCATCACTCTGTTCCCTGCCCCCCAGTGCCTGTGCTGTGGTTCTGTGGAGTCTTCTCCATGCCGGGGATGGAGGAAATCCCTGGTTCCGTCGCTCCCCTGCCCCCACCTCCAGCTGTGGGACTTCAGAGCCGGCTCTATCCCCATCTGACAGTCGCAGGGGCGGGAAGCCAAGCTCCCAGCAGCCGGGAGCTATCACCAGGCCCCGAGTTTAAATATAGACAGCCAAGCCTGTAATTTGCCTCCCTTCTCCACGCTGTGGTGCCTATAATTAGAGCCGGGAGACAGCCAGGTGGGGAGGCCTTGGTGTTTGCGTGTCCTCATGCGGCAGGAGAGGCCAAGGCCATGTCAGCCGGGCAGGGCTCGCCTTGCAGCTGGGCTCAGCTTCCTGGGCTGGAGGGGCCGCCACCAGCCATCACCTGGAGCTCCCAGCTCGGTGCGGAATTGGGGCTTGTGCTGAGGCTCAGACAGGAGGCTTCTCACTGGGCTCCTGGCACTGCCCTCAACCTCTTCAATCTTTCCTCTGCATTGCAGCTGGGGCAGGGGGGTCAGTCTAGAGCCCCAATCCGTCCCTGTCCTCCCCTGCTCCAACCTACTACTGGAGCGCCTACTGTGTAAGGACTCAGGCTGGTTGCTGGGGTAGAAAAGGGTGGGTCTCAGGGACCATCTCATGCCAGCCCCCACTCTGCAGATGAGGCAACGGAGAGCCAGCTTGGGGTCAGAGCCCTGGCTGGGGTCCCTCTGTGTACCCCACGTCCCCCCTTGTGCCATCCACCTGTGGCCGCACGCTTACCCGCCTTGCCGATCTGCACAGCCAGCTTGGTGAGCTTGCCCTGCAGCACGGATTTCTCCTTCTTGTGCATGTTGGCCTTTTTTTTGTCATCAGCGTCGCCACCCTCGGCACTCTTGAGGGGCTGCATCTCCATGGCGGCTGCCCCGTCCTGCTGTTTGGCTGCAGGGGGCAGAGCACGCACATGCATGCACACACGCACACGCGCGCACACGCACACACACAGACATGCACATAGCCAGGTCAGCCTGCAGGGTGGGGATATTGGCACCCACCCTGCCTGCCCAGCAGAGTGTGGTGAGATATTCACTCCCTCGTCTGGCCCCCTGCGTGGCTGGCACAGACATCCTGTGATATAGGGTCTGCCTCTTCCAGCTGGAGACCAAGGTCCCAGGGCGAGTAGCTGCCTCGGACCTGGAATCCAGGTGTGAACAGGGAGTGACACAGTTCCACCTTGGATTCCCAGTAGGAGTAGGCTGGGGTCCCCGCTGGGCCTGAACAAGCCCACAGATCCTTCCCCAAATGGCCCCTCAGCTTTTCCCACATTTAGACAAGACGGATAGGCTTGGGCATCCCCAGTTGGTTCTTGACTATGTTGTTGGGATATTAAGTAGCTGCCAGATAGGAGGAACAAAAAGGGGGCTTAAAAGATAAAAGAGTGTCCTTATCCATGGGTGCCAAGCCCCTCCTCCTTCAGTGAAAGACTGACTGGTGGGTCTGGGGCCTTACCCTTTAGCCCCTAAGGATCCCAAAGAACCAGCTTCAAGTCTTCAGCTAAATGGGCAGCATAGCTCCAAGGCTGGGGAAGAGCCGGCTCACAGGTGGCCCCTGTCCTCACCGGTGATGTCTCCATTGGGCCTGGCAACCATGTGAATCACAGCCCACATGAATCACAGCCCCCTCCCCTTTTGGGCCTGGCACCACGTGAATCACAGCTCCCCTCAAAGATGTCAGGCACCTGCAGGTGCGGACCTGTCTGCTTCTAGCCTGGCTCTCAGAGCCAGTGGGGGAGGGGCTGCAGGGACCACAGAAGCCGGTGAATACAAAAGGGTTACCTTTGCTCTGGCTGGCGTCCACATTGCCATCCTGCATTTTACCTACACGACAAAGAATTTTAACAGACAACAGAGAACAGACAACACACGTCGATCATCACAAAGACGCAACAGGGCCACGGACATTCACGTCACAGATGGAGGAAGGGCCGAGCCAACTCTGTCCCTCCACATGGGGACGCTGGGGAGGCCCTGAGACAAGAGCAAACCCGGCCACCACACTGGCTGCAGGGTCTGTCCTGATTCTCTGGGAGCTTGGAGAGAGAGCTTCAGTGGGAATTATTTCAGCCCTGAGGGTACTGATTAAATGACAGCCTCTGAGGGTAAAAGGGACCAGAGTTGGCTGGCAGAAAGCAGAGGGGTCCTCAGGTCCCCAGTGATTAATTTGGTTTGTGCCTTTGGTGGGCTGAGAGGAGGCAAAGGAAATGAAAGAGACAGACAGACAGAGAGATTCTAGAAAGGGGAGGACTTTGGTCAATGTGTTCCTTAGTTTCTGGCTCCAGGAGTGACATATGTAGAATTTTACTTTCTCCTTTTCCATCTGGAGGAGTGTGAAGCCGCAGCAAGGACGACCCCCTGCCCAGCTCCATTGAGAGAGACCCATGCCAAGGGTGAGCAAGGGCTCCCTAGTGGTGGGCTTTGAGGTGCCCCAAGCATGTTCAGGGGGCTTGGGGGGAGTGTCCTGGCTCTCAGGGGGAAGCTGCTGACCCCTCCTCTCCACTTGGGTATATGCTCTTTATTCTGAGGTTGAGCAGCCCCGGCCCTAGTAGACAGGGAAGTCAGGCCAGTGGGCTCCCCTGGGTGCCCCCCTGCCCCGGCCCTGTATGCCAGTGCTAGGGAAAGGGCTGAGCCTGGGGCTGCTCACCTCCTAATCAGGGCTGCCTGGGAGGCCCCCTCCCCAGTCTCGGCCAGAGGCTTGTGGGCTGGGTTTGCAGCATGGGAGGTACTGGTTGTCACTAGTTGGCAGTTGAGACACCTGCCTTTACCTGCTGGCACTGCAGAGAGGGGGTTTCCTCCTGTCCCCTTGGCCTGTTCTCTGAGCTCACTCAGAGCCCTTCCCATGGGCCTTGCGCCACTTTGGGAGGAGTCTGAGAAGGTCAGCCACCCTTGGCCATTGGCTGTGAAGGGGATTCTCATAGCTCACGTTCTGTGAGAACCCACCATGTGCCAGGCGCATATAGAACCTCCATGAGTTCATCTAATCCACACCACATCCCTGCAAGGGCACTCCTGTACTACACACACTTACAGATGAGAAACTGAGGCTCAGAGAGGCAGACAGCCTGCCTGGGTCCCAGGAGGTTAATGGAGAGCTGGCCCCAAAGTGCATCAATGTTTCCACCACAGCTGGGGAGAAGGCAGCTATCCCTCAGTCCCTCTGAGCCCAGAGGAGGGGCATTAAGGCGGCCCTGGTGGGACTGGGCTCCTGAAGCCCCTGTTTTGACACCAACTAGCTGTGCGGCTTTACCACTCCCAGTCTCAGCTTCCACCTCTGTAAAATGGGGATGCAATATTCAGCTTCCGGAGCACCTGATAGTTGCCTTAGCAATAACCACTTGCCCGTTTAGCATTTTGCAGTTTGCGAGTGTCATCTCTTGCCCATCTTCCCGAAACCCTGCGGGTGGGATGGGAGGGATTCTCATCACTCTCATTTTACAGACGGGGAAACTGAGACCATGGGAGTTTCCGAGGCAGCTCTCCTTTCTGGAGCATCCTGATGATAAGCCTGCGACTGCCATCACTGTCACCACACCACACTGTAGGTGACTCCGAGGGGCCCAGCCCTGTGCTGTCTCTCCAGGGGAAATGCTGGGCTGTTCCCACTGCCTCTCACAGCCAAGGGTCAGTGACCCCCCTGGGCGGATGGAAAGAGAAGGGCCCCCGTTGCTTTATTGCAAAGTTCTTTTTGCTGGATTAAAAACAAAACAGAAAAAGCCTTTTTAGAGCCAACAGGAATGAACTACAACAATTATCTTTATTTTTAAAAATAATTTTACTAACTGGGCTAAAGGACACGGGAGGACTCCTCTTCGATACTTGGTTTTAGAAGACACAAAGGGGCCTTATTTGCATTGCATATTATCAGATGCAATAGCCCATGTGTGCGCCCATTAACCAAGCTAGCAATTTCCTCTTTTATTTCCATAGTGATCACGTGGCCAGAAAAATAATCACCAATGCATATGTTCGAGGGAGGGAGCGGCATTGTGGGGGTACTTCTGTGCAGATGGCCTGGTTTCTCAGAAGCAAGGGACTGATCTGGGGTTTTTCTCAGCCAAAGTGGAGCTCGCCTGGCCCCAGAACTATGGTGGGACAGCCAGATCTGGCTCCATGCATGACCGGAAGAGGGGGCTGTTTTAGGGGAGCTGGGATGGGGAACTCGAGTGGAGACTCGGAAGCTGCCAGATGCAGCTTCGACAAATGGGTCTGTTCTCTTCATGCATCGCCAGGAAGTGTGAAAAGTGTGTGTGTGGAGGATTCACGGTGAGGCGACCTGATAAACAAGCTGTGGGGAGACGGAACACTAACTAGGTGAACTAGAAAATGTTACTTCTCTTGCCTGTACCTCCATTTCTTGCCCCGTGACAGGTGACAATTTCAACCAAGGTTGTGCTTATGAAAAGCACCACAAAGTGCCCTGTTAATGTCTGGAATTCAGAGTGATGTATTTACTAATTGTGATTACAAGCAATGTATTAAACAGTGATATGTTAATAAATGTAAAAAATAATAAAATGATAATGGCAATCATAATGCCTCCAAGATGAATGGAACATACCCGCTTTCAGTTGGGAGGGGGCTTGGGGGGGGAATCAGAGGGACTTTTACCAGCTGAGTGTGTTTTCTATATCCACATCATCCTGATTTGGCTCAGAGGAAGGAGGGAAAGGAATGGTTAATTCTGTCATTGACCAAGGCTCAGCCTGGCACCTCTCAACCTTTAATACACTCTGACCTGGAGCCTGGAGAGCTTACTAGATGAGATCCGGTGTGTTCATGGTGTTATGGCCATAGACTGGAAAGCTTATTAGAATGCAGATTCTTGTTCAGTGGGTCTGGGGTGGGGCCTGAGATTCTGCATTTCTAACAGGCCCCTAGGAGATGTCCTGCCTTCTGGTCCTCTGATTACATTTGGAGAAGCAATGGTTTAGAGCACTATTCCCTAAGTATATTATAGAAACATACCAATCCCACAAGATTCAGCCAGGAAAGGTCCTGCAGCCAAATCAGTCTGGGAAGGCCTCCATGGCTAACTTTCCACTATATACCAGCATATTCAAGGTTCTGAGAAGCTCTGCAATAAGGAAGAGACCAATTCTGACCCACGGTTCTTAAACATCTCTGACCACAGGATCCTTTTCTTGGGGGCAGGACCTATTAATATTCCTGTGAAGTTTACAAGACACACTCCTTTGGGGAACCCTGGATCAGGAAGTGGAGTATGCACTTTAGAGCCAGCGGGCCTGGGTTCAAATCCCAGCTCTGCTACTTTTCTCCTTCTGTGACCTTGGGCTAGGGTCTTGATCTCTCCGAGCCTCAGTCTCCCCATCTTTAAAGTGGGGACCATAAACTCTGTATCTCAGGGCTGTCATGAGGATCAAATGAGGCCATGAGCAGGTAATGTTTGTAAAGTGCCCGGCATACAGTAGGTGGTCAAGTTTCCCATCTTTCCTGCAGTTTTTCTCAGGATACTAGGAGTTTTCTGCTACAGTTTGGAAGTGCAACTGCCTTTTTTGGGGACCGACCAGCCTGGATGCAGTCTGTATGTTCACTGAGCCCAGTGGGCTCACTGCTGTGGGGGAAGCAGAAGCCGGCTCCTCTTTCCTTCTCCTGCTGCCTGGGTTTGCCTATATTGGTTCTCCCTGTCATCCCTTGCCACCCCTCCCTGATGCATGACACCTCCCACACCCCAAGCTGTTCTCCTTTCTCCTCCAGAGCCTGAAATAGACCCACACCCAAATTAGCAAGGCGCAGCTCACAGAAGTGTCTTGCCTGGCCCCTGACATCTACGAGGTGCTTCGATCATTGGTCACTTTGAATGCAGGCAGCTCAGCCAGAGATCTGGGGCAGGGGATGGGAGTATGGGGTAGCGCAAGATCTTCATGTCTTCCAGGAGTGGTGAGGAGGAAACGATATAATGGGTGAGAAAGCCACAGCCCCCGGTGCCTCGTATGCAGCGATGCTGCAAGAAAGGCTTTTCCCTTCCTTCGATTCCCCGGGGCAACGGTTTTATGATCAAGCCCTACAGCTCTCAGCCTGGGTGACTATCATGCTACCTAATTTGGGGACAGGGGACCTATCTGAGTACACAGAAGCCTTGTCACTCTGAAGATGGGAGGGCACAGAAATAAGAAATCCTCTAAAGGTTTAGAGACAAGTGAATGGAATTCCTTCTTGCCTGTGGGTAAGGAGGTTAAAACGCAGATCCCAGGTACTGTGGCAGCGCCCCACCGCCACCCCTCACCCCGTAAGGGGGCCCGTAAGAATGCAGAGACTCGGGACAAATGCTCCAGCACAGGCAACAGCAGGAAACACCAGTCCACGTCCGAGGGACAGAACCAGGCCCGAGCCCAAGCGAGCCCCCTGCCCGTTCACTCCGAGAAAGAGAAGAGGAAGAAATGTTTATCAGTGGCTCAGCCATGCTATGGGGTGAGGCCAAAGAGCTGAACCCTGGCCTGGGTCCCCCTGCCTCGAGGGAATTTTCGAGTTGAGGACTGGAGCCTTCAGCAGGGACCCAGACACCAGTTTCAGCCCAGGTCCTGACCCCAGGCCTTCTTCCCCAAGCTGGGGCCAGGAGTGTGCTTAGGAGAGGGCCACGTCGGGTGGGATGCTGCTTCTAGGGAGCCAAATCTGAAGCCCAGGGTATGTCCCTCTTCCGGGCCCCACTGGGGGTCAAGGGCCCCACAGGCCCCTACGTCGGCAGCCGCAAGCGGGCGTGGAGCGTACTTCCCGGTGGTGGCTTCTCTCTTAAGCGCCTGCCCCACGTGGGAGGACGATGGTCCCAGAGCTGCCCATGCACATCCAAGATCTGTGCGGTCCAGAACAGGGAGAGGCAAGCCCAGAGTTGGGGGTGGGGGGAGAGACGCCCATCCAACCGAGACCGAGAGCTCGCCATCGGAGACGTACCATTGACTAGGCTGGTATTTGCACTATCTGTAGCATTTGAACCTGCTGCCCCATCGGCCGCTGTGGGGGTGGGAGGGATGGAAAATGCAGTGTGTCACAATGGAGAAAAGCAACAATGAAGAACAGCAACAACAATAAGGACATGAACCAACTTGTGGGAAATAACATGACTATATTCTTAAAAAAATAAAATCTCCGTTGGAAATCAAGAAACTCAAATTTGCAGGGGAGTGAGGGTGAAATGTTCCCATAGAGATGCCATAAAAACCAGGGAAAAAAACTCAGACATGGACGGTCTTTGAAATAAAACATGGCAGATGATCAATGTGGTTAGGTAGGATGGCACTGTTCTGTGCCAAGGTCTGGACCGATGCACCCCTCTGGCCACGCCAATCAGGCAGGTCCCCATCAGAGAAGCTTCTATGAGAGGGCATCTGGCTGCCCGTCAGGGCCAGAGGGACGCATGGCCAGGACTCATTTCAAAACATTCAACAACTAGCGCAGTGTAGGCACCTGCCATTCTGATCGGGTACTTGCTGTGACCACCATCACTGAGGCCCAGAGGGACATCCAGCAGTGGCGGTGACTCAGGATTCGAGCCCTTGACTCAGGCCACTGCCATGGCCACCTCCTCCTTCCTAACCAGCACGCTATAGATTGCCTTGGTCACCCCCATACGAGATGCCCCGTCATTGAATAGGTGACATCCAGCATGTTGCACTTTGTGCATGGGACAGAGAAGGTACTGGCCGGTTTTCCTTAGTTCAGCAATTAAAAATGACATGAGATGGTCAGATGCACTCTGGTTGTTCTTTCTTGGGGTGGGGGCAGATGGGTTGTGCGGGAAGGAGAGGGAAGAGACACTAGTGGGTGAGGTGTCCATGCTGTGTGGTGAGGGGCGGCGGGACGGGCTCTGCGGGGTGTGCGCAGGAGAGCAGGGCTGTGGGGTCACGTGGCGGTGAGCGGGGCACCGCACGCCGGTGTGGGCGGCGGAGGGCTGTGTGGGGTCGGTGTGGAGACGGTGGTGGTGGTGCCGCGTGCGTCGGCGGGCAGGGCAAAGCACCGGAAGGGCCAACAGGCGGAGTGAGGTGCTGGTTCCTCCAGCGGGGCCGGCATCACGTGGGGGCACCGCGGAGGGGCTGGGGGGTCAGGGAGCCTCCTCCAGCTGTGTGCTGGGGGTCTAGGGCCACGGCTCGGGGGTCAAAGGCTGCTGCTACTTCTAAAAGCCCCATCTACCCTGAGGGGGTCTTACTGTACCTGGTAGCTGAAGGCCATCCCCCTTCTTCACACCTGTGTGATGATTTTTGAGACACGTTAATGAAGGAGAAGCACATACAGCCTCACCTGCACGTACACGCATGCACGCACACGCACACGCACGCCTGAGGTCATCCTGACCTGGGGGCCCGCCGTGGAGGCGAAGGGGATGGGATGGGAGTGCAGAGGCGCTCCAGTCCTGGCCATGCTGCTCACGGGCGCTTGAGAGGCTCAGCTGCCCCCTGTCTTCCTCTGCCATGGCCCCCCCACATCCCACTTCTTCCCTCTACACGGACACCCCCATTTCACTGGGGTGCAGGTGTGTGTTCAGTAAAGGACTCTGACCTGTGCTTCAGGGCAGGAGAGGCCTGTCTTCCTACCGAAATCTTCGAGAACACAGGTCTGGCTTCTGCCCCTCACCCAGGCCCCAGTGAGGCTAAGAAAAGGGGCAAAGACTGCCTCATCTTGCCATATCCTGCCCACTGCCTCTATTTGCCCAGCTATCTGCACGCTGGGGCCAGAGCCGGCCACCGCTTCTATGTCACTCTGGATGCTGTCCTGACACCCTCTGGGCCTCTTGACTAGGACTTCATCCTCAGTTTCAACCTCAGCAGCTTCCTGGTTCTCTCCAGCCTCTGGACTTGCCTGAGGACAGCACAGCTCCACTGTTCCTGCTGGTGGGGCTGCCATAATCTTAGGGGGTCCCCTCTAGAAAATGGGGTATTGCCCTTGGGAACAAGTGACCTTTGGTTCTGACCCAGGCTCTGTGCCTGGTTAGCTGCAGAGAGCTGGGGGTAGCAGGGCTGCCCCTAAACCTCAGGGAGGGGCCGTCGACATTCTCATCTCCTTCCCCTGGACCGCAGATGGTCTGGCTGTTGGGGACCCCCTTCTGGAGCTTGGGGAAGGAGACAGGACAAAAGACTAAAGATGTGAGAGGGGTCTGTCCCTGACACTGGGCGTAGGTGTTGGGGAAGGAGCCGGATGCTCTGGGGCCAGAGGCCTGGGCCTTTGGATTTGGGCCTGGCCAGATGAGCATCCCTCCCTCTGCTCTGAGAGGCCCTTGTAGCCCAGGCTACCAGCCTGCCACGCTGAGGGGGACCCTGGGGAGTAGGAATCTTGTTTCCAAGGCGGAGGAGGAGCCAGGACCCAGGCAAGGTGGCAGCTCTGGGTGGGGGAGGGGTGAGAAAGGGAACCACAAGTGTGGCCACCTTTCCTAGAATCTCCTCTGCCCCCAACTGGGCCGAGTCTGTGTGTGGGGTGGTTTGCAGCTCTGCTCTGTGGAGTTGAGAATAGTGGTAGGAGTGAGTGCAGGTGGGGCTTTCTACTCCATATCAGGGCTGATGAGGGGACCAGGTCACACTCGAGGCTGGAGACTCAGCAAAGTGCTCAGCACCCCGAGCCTGGCTTGCGGGGGAGGGTCCTCCATGACATGACCGGACAGACAGAGACTGGGACAAGACCCTGGAGATGGAACAGACAGGAACCTCCTGGCCTGAGCATCCTCAAGGATGCAGGAGGCGGCTGTTGGCACAGGGTGTAGACACAGAAGGCACTCAATAACTATTTTGTTGAGTGAATGAATAAACAACAAAAAAAGTGACCTGAAGAGCTCCTCTCCTGGTCTGTGAGGGGGTTGTGCTTACCTTTCTTGTCTTTCTTCTCTTCCTCCTCACCGCCAGCCCCCAGCAGGGTGAAGATAATGCCGGTCTGAGAATTCACCCCCACAGCAGTCACTACCATCCGTCCAGAGCCCTCCATCACGTGGGTCCCTGGGGAAGGGGACGAGAGCCAAGTTACCGTTGCATGGGCCCAAGCCCCCTCCCCAAAGGAGTGGAAGGAACTGGATCCCAGAAAGCTCCTGGCTCTTTGCCTGCCAAGGTCCTGGGGTACCGCCCATGGTTAGGGTTCAAACTATGTATTGTAGAGGCTTTTACTTCGGGACAGGGCTGTAATGGGCCCGGGACTCAACCACTGCTCCTCCTCACTTCTCAGGCCTACCACCTACTACCTTCTCCTGGAGAGTCACCTCCCCCCTCTGTCCTAGACAGGACTGGACAGGACCACTTATAAAGGGGTCTACTCCCTCCTAACCATCTGGCAAAGAACTCAGGGCTCTGGGAACTTGGAAGAGAAGACAATGGCATCTTTCTTTTCAGAAACGTCTAGCTGAAATTTAGCATTTCCACATGAACATAGGCAACCAACCCCAGGAGTGTTCGTGGCCCACAATACCATTACATGCATTACAAAGAGCGCAGGTTCTCTATCCTATGACTTTGTAGTTGTTGCAATCATTTATGCTCATCCTAATCTTACAAGCACAGAGGTTATTAGACTACCTGCCAGACCTGGTTATTAGGGTGCTGACAAAGAAGCACATACATTACTCCATTACACAGTTTATTATGTTAACTACTTCAATATAATAGACTTTCTTTGTGATCCAGTGTATTTTATTTTATGCATTTTAAAGCTTTATTCTGAGTATGGGTGGTACGTGATAACACTAGACCTCCCCAGGCTCCACGGTGCAAGAAAACCCCCTTTGTAGAATTTTAGGATTTTCAAACTGGGTTTTAAAGGGCCCTGGATGGGGTGCCTGGGTGGCTTAGTCGTTAAGTGTCTGCTTTGGCTCAGGTCATGATCCTGGGGTCCTGGGATCGAGCCCCGCATCAGGCTCCCTGCTCAGCGGGAAGCCTGTTTCTCCCTCTCCCACTCCCCCTGCTTGTGTTCTCTCTCTCGCTGTGTCTCTCTCTGTCAAATAAATAAAATCTTTAAAAAAAAAAAAAAGGGCCCTGGAATTCTTTTGAGGGGCAGGAGAGTGGGCTGAGGGGGGCGAGGGAGACCTGTTGTCAGAGTGGTTCCACTTTTATTCATCTTTGGGGTTTCGGTGTCAGCTGCTGTGAGACACAGGTCTTCCCGACCTGCAGGCGCAGAAGGCAGGTGGTCCAAGGTTCACTTGGGGCGGGGGTTCATGCCAGACTGAGGATAAAATGCAAAGGTGAAGCTGCTGAAAACTGTGCTATATACACACAACGGAATATTATTTGGCCTTCGAAGGGAAGGCAGTTCTAACACAGGCTACAACACGGATGAGCCTTGAGGACATTACGCTCCGTGCAAGATACCAGGCACAGAAGGACAGCTGCTGTGGGTTCCGCAGCAGGAGCCCCGTAGAGCAGTCAAAGTCGCAGGGACGGAGAGCGGAATGGTGGTTGCCAGGGGTGAGGGAGGGGGGTTCCAGGGGGCTACTGTTCAATACCTCTGGAGGTTTGGTTTTGCAATATGAAGAGTGCCAGAGGTGGACGGTGGTGACGGTGGTGCCACGGTGTGAATGTCCGTAACACCAAGGACCTGTACGCTTAACAATGCTTAATGTGGTACATTTTATGTGTATTTTACCACGATAAAAGAGTTGGGAAAAAAAAAAAAGCAAACCTGCTGAAGCTGTGGCCTCGCTGGGGAAACAGGTGAGCCCAGGGTGGGGTCGGGGGGCGGCTGGGATCCAGCCTGGGACATGGCCGGCTGCTACCTTGGCCTGGTCCCAACAGAGGAGATGTGGGCACAGCCAGCCCTCTATCCTCAGGCTGGTGCCGGGGACGTGTCACTGTGTCCTAGGAGCTGTCACAGATCCACAGGCCACTCACAGGGTCGGCCTGCATGGGGTCTCCTGCAGTGGGCTCCAGGCACCCCTGGGGAGGCCCCTCGGCCTGCCCGTGGCTCCGCTGTTTAGTCAAGAATCTAGGTAAGTGCAGTTTGCACCTCCAGGCGCCCATTTTTATTTTAAATTTAAACTTTTACTACCCTAGGTAGAAAGGTCTCTTCAATGCAGCATGTGTTTCCTTCCCCAACGGAGAGGGGAGCATCTCAGGACATCCTTGGGCTGCACAGAAAGAACCAGATCGGGGCGGAGGGCTAAAAGGCCCTGATGACTTGCTTTTTTTTTTTTTTTTTTAATTTTATTTATTTATTTGGGAGAGAGAGCGTGCACGAGCAGGGGGAGGGGCAGAGGGAGAGGGAGAAGTAGGCTTCCTGCTGAGCAGGGAGCCTGACGCGGGGCTTGATCCCAGGACCCTGGGATCATGACCTGAGCCGAAGGCAGACACATGTGCGTGTGGGTGTATGTGTGTGTTCCAGCCCCTTGCCCTCTAAGATCTCATGGTCTTAAAATGCTTTACAGACAGACAGATGGACACTCTCCAGTGAATTCCTTCATGGTGGGTAAAGGTCAGTCTATCTGTGCATGGGTAAACCAAGTCACGCAGGCTCCCAGAGGTGGTGCAAAACCCGGTGAGCTGTAACAGAACCCAAATGTTCAGATGGTGAGCTCTTCGGCGGGCTCCTTGTTCATTCCCAGGACAGAAGGACAGTGCTCTTGTGTCTCTGGGCAGGGAATAGTGGGGACCACAGGATGACCCTGGACACTGACGAGAGGTTGAGCAGCCCAGGCAGACCCCGGAACCCATCTACTCACCCAAGGGGCACAAGCCGGGACAACCAAGGCCCACTGGCAGGAATTGGTAACTATAACTTGCTGACAAGATTTCTGTGCACTGGCTTAGCTGGTGTGGGGTGCGCGGGGCACTGTGAAATATCAGCAATATTAGACAGATGAGGAGCCCGGGGTCTGGGGGAGGTCACGTGGCGGGGGGGCGTCACCAGATCTTTCAAGGTGAGGGAGGAACATACTGCACTGATTCAGAGTGCAGATGGCAGTGGCCGCGGCCAGCACTGACCTCCATGGGACACCTTCTGTGTGCCAGGCTTCGAGCTAAACCCTTCATAGGGTGTCATCTCATTAGCCCTCACCCTGGCCCTGCATTTACAGAGGAGAAAACTGAGGTTCAGGGAGAAGTGGCTTGCCCAGGGTCATCGGTTTGTGGGGGCAGAGCCAGGATTTGAACGCCTCCCCATCTCTCAAGCTCATTCTGTTTGTCACATACAAGTCCCCATCTCAGGAAGACAGGCCCTCGCACCCTGGTCTCAAACACATTTGGAAAATGTTTGCTCTGCCTGGGTGGTAATGGGGAGGCCAGTCCCCACCTCCCCAGCCCAGAGCAGGATGGAAAAATACACAGGGGGCCAATTTCCACTCAAGATAATCAGACCCCAAATCACCTTCTAATCTATCACTCCCATCACAGCAGGGAGCTGACAGCTCTGCCCAAGGAGGCAGGGAGGAGGGAGGAGGAAGCCAGGGAGGCAGCCTCCAGCCACAACGTGAGACATGGGACATGAGGGCACGGGGTGAAGGCACAGCACATGCCCTGCTCAGCCTTAGATGAGCCTCAGGGTGGTCCTCCAGGCCCCAGCATTAGATGGGCCAGGGGAGCTGAGCCCCAGCAGCTCCTCCTGCCCCTGGCCATGGCTCTAACCACTGTCCCCCAGCCCAGACACCCTCAGTAGCATCTCCAAGGTCCAAATATCTCTCAGCGTGTCCTGGGTGAGAACCCAGCTTGCTTCTGACCCTTGATCACTGATTCCTGCCCCATGGCTTCTGCCCTGGGAGCATGCAGCTCACTAGGGATTTGTGTTCAGTCCCTCACCTTGGCTCACATAGTTACCCCTTCCTGAGCGCCCTTCTCCCTCCTCTGGCCCCAAACCTCCTCCTCTAGGCTCAGGATGAAGGCCCCTCTTAGGTGGCCTTCCCTGACCTCCACTTCATCTCTCTCCTCTGAACTGCCCTCCTACCTACAGTTTCCCCTGGGGGTGCTTCCAGGCCGGCTCCCCAACTAGACTGCGAGCTCCTTGAGGGTAGGTTCTGAGTGCAAGTCTCCCCTTAGCAGAGCCCAGCTTGTAGCTGGAACTCCAGCACATTTTTTTTTTTTTTTTTTTTTTTTTTTTACTGCTGCCTCCTTTTTTTATACTTTCCCTGGTAGGTATGTGTTACATTTAGGATGGAGACTCTCTACACCCCTCAGAAGCCATCTTTATGGTTGGCAAAGGGTCAGATTCATCCTAGCCTCACACTCTTCCCCACCCCTCACTGGGCCATCCCTTCCCCTACCAGGACCTCAGAGCCTGCTGCCCCTCCTAGCAGAGGAAGAATTGAAGGGACCAGGTCACCCCCTGCAGCAATCATACCCCAGCTCCAGAATACCCCTCAAAGGGCGATGTTTGACCCCACAGGCTACAGCTCTAATGGTAGAACCAAGTCAAGGTTGATTGACTAAATCTCCCAAAGGAACACGGCAGGGTCTCTGGGTAGCTGCAGAGCTGAGAACCCTTTGGCTGGGTGGGGGGCCCTGGCAGGGCCTTGCACCAGGACCTCAATGTCCATGGTCCGTTGCCACCATCCTGTAGCCCCCACCTCCTCTAGTCTCACGGAACCCCTCAGAATACGTGAGCACAGGGGGCGGGTAGATAGCGCTCTGGGCCGAGGGGTGGGTGGGACCTGGGAACCGTCTGCTGTCTGCTTCTGATTTGCTGTGTGACCTGAGGCCAGCCCTCTCCTCTCTGGACCTCAGTCTGTCCTCTGGAGAATGGGAGGGTCTAACTTACGTCATCACCTCTCAGCAATGAAGTCTGGGCACCAAGGGTCCCAGAGAGACAGGGCCACTCCTGGGTGGGGTAGGGCAGTCTCCATGAAAACGCTGCATCTCGGGAGTTGGGATCTCGGTTTGGATGGGATCTTGGTTTGGATGGGATCCTGTGCGGACAGACTGACCGTGTGTGGCGTTTCCTGCCTGGGCCACACTCCTTCACTTGATGGACACATGTGGCGGATTGCCAACACTGTGTCAGGCTCTGGGGCCCAAAGGGAGGTCTC